TATATACAAAGCACAGGCTCAAGGAATTTTTGTTAATTCTCCCCCCATAGGGCTCCCTCATGTCCCACCATCCCATCTAGGTCTTACCTTGCCCACTTGATTCCTGTGGTGTCAGTGGCATATACAACAGTGTTCTTTCAGGTGATAATCTGCCCCCAAGTGGAGTTAGAACAACAGTCTACAATACCTACAGTTACTGGTATTGCATGTAGTCTCATTGAGACCAATTCTTCAAACATTTAGAATAGATAAAGAGAGCACCAGAGGCTCTAGAATCCTTAGGGGTGAGCAATAAAATCAAACATGGTAACTGACTACAGTTGTTGTTCAGCAATCTTCAAATATTGCCCTGTTTTTCCTGAAAATTTTAAAGTTTTCTGTACTGAAATACTGTAGTGATTTCTAAAATGTTTTCCATACGGAGACAATAACTTCTTCTGATGCATCATTTAACTGAGCAATTTAGTCCACATCTCATAGGAAAGTAATGTTTTCATGAGATACAAAGGTAATTTCACAGAGTCCAATATATACTATTCACAAATAATTAACAATAAAATACAAATAATAAATACCTAATAGAAGGCATTATTGTATATTTACAGACTGCAGATTGAAAAATGAGTCTTTATGCTTAGTGAAATACAAAGAAAAGATTTCAATAGTATTTTAATATTTAAACTACTTCCAGTTCTTGTCGCCAAGGATAGTAGTTAACCAATTTGTTTTTATAGTGCATTGAGAGATGAGAATGAATTAAATCAATGGCTTATGCAGTGGGTATTTACCAAGGTTTCTAAATAAACAGATGAAATACACTTGTTATAGCAACTTTTTAAAGCAATATACATGCATTTGTCATGCATTAAATTAGCAAGGAACATTACACTATTTAAAGTGACATTCATCATTTCACATATGTATACATATTTATTTTTATATAAAATGTCTCACTTTGTTCAGATGGATACATTCTGTGGCTACTATTCATCACAAAGAAACTCTAAAGTAAACAACCGGTCACTGATTTCTGGGCAGGATTTGGATTCCAAAGGGTGGGTTTCAAATGTGGCTAAATTTAGTTATTAAAAACGTTATAAATTTACCTGTGCCTATGTACAATAGACTGTGCATTTGATCCTCACTTGTTATATAAAAGCACCATACTTCAGGGTGCAGTAGACAGAAACAATCTATTTTCATAGACAAGTATGGAAGAACTTTTTTCATCATGCTCTGCTCATGCTGAATAAGGCTTCCTCTGCCACATGCTACCAACTGAAACAGAGTGAAGTTTACTGCTGTGAAAATATTATGGAACTAATTTGAACAGTGTGTGAAGAACTATTTGTAGAGCTAAGTGGCTTCTGGCAAACTTGACTCCTGTGCAGTAGAAGGCAGAAAGACCAAACAAGCAATCTAAGCAGTGCCTCGTGCACTGTAGGATGGTAGTTGACGGCCTATTTGCACCATTGGGGCTACTATGCCAAAATCATTCCATTTTGAAACTGCTTTAGTGGAAATTACCAAGGTGAAGGACCACATAGTGATTAGTTTTACTCAAAAGAAGTTTCAACAATGGCGTGATTGCCTGGATGCTGTTAGGAGCAATTTTGTGTGTGGACATGTGATGTGTTGCAAGCGCTAGACCAAATGGTGGTTAGCATGCTAACTTTCTCTAACCTAAACAAGCACGCAGTCCATTATTTCTCTTTCTGTTATACTAATGATAGATGAGATGTGCATCCATTTATTCTAGACAATTTAGCTGTCAAGTTCAAATCCAAAAAAACTTCCAATTATGTAAAATACACAGTAGGTGGTGTGGTCACCATGAGATAATCATACCCTTTGAGATTTATGAAGCACAAGAAAAAGATGAAAATTTCTAATCTTTCTAATCTGTAATGTCATTGCAAAAATCCTTCCAGGTAGCAAAAAAATCTTGTTTTGAAAATAGAATTTTTAAATACTGAAGCAGTAGTTTCAGCTAAGCTGTAGACACATGCTCAGCTATGTGGATAGATGTATGCAATTTAAATGCTCCTGAGCAAAAGTTCTCCTTCTCACGATCCAAGGAATTTTTTTTTATTATGAAATGCAATTGTTTATGAATACTCATGTTTTCCAGTTTTAGGCCCATGTTGTCTTTGCACTAGAACTGGAAATGATTAAAAGCATGTGCTATAATTTTTCCATATTGTTAGAGAAGAAATCAGTATAATTATATAAATAGAGACTGGCAATTATATTTTTTGTACCTAGAATGGATGCCTGTTATAGACTTATTAAAAAGTCCACATATTTACATTCTTGCTATTGTTTGTCTCTGATAATTTTTATGTTGCATGATAATAAAGAAATACCAGAAAGGTACAGACTATTTTTTTAAATGTGCATCTATATACAAATATATGATGCATTAAAAGGAATGCAAATAAAAATTGTCAAACTATCTGAGCGTGGTTGGGGACGTGCCATTAAACAGTGATGACTCAAAGAGAGAAAATAAAAAGGGGAAGGGGGAACCTGAGCTACAGAAGGCATAGAGAGATGAAAATCACAGGGGAAAGACAGAAGTTAAGAGCCTGGGACAGCGAAGCTTTTTTAGTTTCACTTTATTACATAGTGTAGCGGGGTGGTAACCCCGCTCCGGTCCAGAGGGGGCTATGGCTGGAGAAAGCAGCTTTTAGGATGAGCTGATTGGGGGAAGTGGCTGCAGCTGGGGCCACGCCCCAAACAGACTCAGCTGGCCCTATAAAGGCCAGGGCAGCCAGAAGCTTAGCAGTCTCTCTCTGAGTGCAGAGAGAGAAGGGCCTGGCTGCAGCAAGCTAGGGATAGTGTACCTGAGTGGAGCAGGGCTGGGGAGCTCCAGCCTGGATAGCCCCAGGCTGTGGCCTAGCGGAAGGCCAAGGGGTACTGGAGGTTGCAGAGGGCAGCCCAGGGATAGGCCAAGGCAGCAGGTCCAATCCCCCCTTGCCAGTGATGAGTGGCCTATACTGCAGTCTGCCCCAGGGAGCGGGGGCTAGTTGGTGACTGGCAGTGGCCTAGTGGTGAGGCAAGGTGGGGATAGTGGGTGGAGGTTCCCCAGGGAGGGGAGACTGAGATCTGTGGGGTACTGCCAGGGGGCAGCATCCCAGTAATAGGGGCACCAGGTCCTGGGAGGGACAGGGGTGCCAGAAGAGGACAGGCGGATCACTGGCCTGCAGAGGGCGCTCCAGGTGCTGGTGAGCTAATTACCTGGATGACCAGCAGGAGGCGCTGCAGGGGTGAGTCCTGACTTCTTACACATAGTGTATCCCCTTATTTAAAATATATATATATATATATATGTGTGTGTGTGTGTTTAAGTAAGGGTTTCACACAAAGCTGTCTTTCTAGGATATGACCATTCCTAATTCCCCAACTGGAGTTTGAAAAAGAAAATTGGTAGTTTAATTAAATTTTGAGGTTTTTCATTTCAATCCTATTCCTCATTTTCTGTCTGAGGCAAATGCTGGGAAAGCACTCCTTGGATAATCTGAAAGGTAGCACTCAAAGCAGAGACCTCTATCCATCATGCTCTCTACAGCAGTCTGTAGATGTATAGGCAAAGGTACCAACCTCTGCTAAAATACTGCCTTTACAGCCAAGGGATTCTTATCCCTAAAAGACTGGCATGGGTCCAAGTCTTTGAGTAATGGAGGATGAAATATGCTGGGATTTGGGAGGGTAGAGTTAGCTATATAGGATTTTATATCAAGCTCATCACAATGGTATTTTAGTGTTGCCAACAGCCACAAACAACTTTGATGAAAAAGGGAAGATGCTGAAAGTTAGGCTCCCTGCTCTAGAACTTCTGAAAAGCCACTAAGAAAGGAGTCTTTCATCCCCTGTCTGCTCTCCTAGGGCTCAATCCTGCAAAGTGCTGAGCACATTGGTCCTGATCCAGCAAAGCACTTTAGCCCATGCTTAACTTTAAGCATCTGAGGAGTCCCATCTAGGTCAAACTTGACCTGTGTAGTGAAATGTGAAAGTGGATTACACAAGCTACCTAAGTAGTGTCCAGTGCACTGGTCCGACTATTTGCACCATCAGGGGTAGTGTGCCAGAAATCACTGTCCATATTGGGACTACATTAGTGGAGACTGGCTGGGTAGAACATCATATGGTGGCTAGCCTTGTTCAAAGCAAACCTAATCAGTAGTTCAACTGTCTGCACATTGCTGGGAGCAATTGTGTGTGGACATGAAGGTGGAGGGGTGTAACCGATGTGCTGGTGGGACCAACCAGTGGTCAGCTTGCCAAATTTATCTAGCCTAGACAAAGCCATTCAGCCTTAGAGTGGAATCACTCTTCATATCTCTAGATTAGAGAAGAATAAGTGGACCTTATAAGTAGATTTGAAATAAATAACCTGTGGAACTTTGTGGAATGACTAATTTATTTTCTCTGGTGTTATGGATCTTACATTATTAGAAAATTACAAAAATATGATCATCACTTAGATTCGAAACATAATTGCCTGAGTCACCTGCGGTATTTTTTTAGGTTAAGTCATTGATGTACTGATGAAAATAGTAAGTGCCTTCAAACACATATCCAAAATGAGGAACATTAGGCCAAATTTATCCCTAAGGTAACTTTATTGATATTAATGGAGTTGCTCCAGAAATAAATTTTACTCTTTATGTTTAAGAGGTGTTCTCTCTCTTATAAGGCTGAATATTTGTTTTACTCACAAGATTTGATTAACTGTTTTGATCCTACTCTATATTTTCAAGGCTGTCACCTGGATCTTAGAAAATAAAGATCTGCAAATGATGACTACTGCTAAAAGAGGGTCATAATACTGCTAGATGACAGGTTGTAATAGAAGTATAGGTATTGAAGGGTCGGACCCTTCAAAAACGCACTGTTCTTGCTAAATGGTTTTTCAATCACGTATACTAATTCAAAATGGGTGTACAGGGTTTTCTATATATATATATAAAACAATAATCAGCAAGGTTTTATTTCCATTTGAATATCTGTAATTAGCCAATACAAGTCTGCTTTGTCATATCACATCTAACTGGTTTCATATGAAAAAGTAAATTACTGTACCTTTCATGCATATAGTTGACTCCAAGCAACAACTGTATAAACCATTCTATTATCTGGCTTTCAGTGAATATTTTCCCAGCTTCTTTGTATTCTTGAATTTTGCAGTCTAGATCTCGACCCTGAAACATTGGAGGATATTGGCATGTTTAATATAAGGGTTATAAACATTTCTTCTTATGCCAAAAAATAAGACTCAGTTATTATCTGTTACCCACAGGCATATTGGGTATATGACACACCCTTTAATTCTAATGCTGATCTTTATCAATATAGCTTTCTAAAAATTCTGTTTAATACAATTTTTCAAAATACATGCAGCTTAAAAAGGAAAATCATCTTCCAATTAGAGATATCAAAGACCATGAGTCTTTGAGTTAAGTTTAGAGGCGAGAGCAACAAGGATGATGTCGTGGTGGACATCTGCTCTAGACCACCAGACCAGGAGGATGAGGTAAACAAGGCTTTCTTCGGACAACTAACAGATGTTTCCAGATCACAGGCCCTGGTTCTCATGGGGGACTTCAATTACCCTGACATCTGCTGGAAGAGCAATACAGCAGTACACAGACAATCCAGGAAGATTTTGGAGAGTGTTGGGGACAAATTCCTGGTGCAAGTGCTGAAGGAACCAACTAGGGGCCATGATCCTCTTGACCTGCTGCTCACAAACAGGGAAGAATTGGTAGGGAAAGTAGAAGTGGGTGGCAACCTGGGCAGCAGTGACCATGAGATGGTTGAGTTCAGGATCCTGGCAAAAGGAAGAAAGGAGAGCAGCAGAATACAGACCCTGGACTTCAGAAAAGCAGACTTTGACTCTCTCATGGAACTGATGGGCAGGATCCCCTGGGAGGCTAATATGAGGGGGAAAGGAGTCCAGGAGAGCTGGCTGTATTTAAAGAAGCCTTATTGAGGGCACAGGAAAGGACAGTTACCTGTTCCATAACTAGCGTTCTTTGAGATGTGTTGCTCAGGTGTATTCCACTATAGGTGTGCGTGCTCGCCACGTGCACCGGTGCCGCAAGTTTTTCCCTTAGCAGTATCCGTAGTGGGGGAGCACTGCTGCGACCCCTGGAGTGGCACTGGTATATCGCACCATAAAGGGGGCTGCATGCTCCCCCCACCCTCAGTTCCTTCTTGTCAGACAACTCCGACAGAGGGGAAGGAGGGTGGGACACAGAATACATTTGAGCAACACATCTCGAACGCCAGTTAGGGAACAGGTAACTATCCTTTCTTCTTCAAGTGATTGCTCATGTGTATTCCACTATAGGTGACTCCAAGCTATACCTGATGGAGGCGGGTAGGCGTTTAAGACTAAAGTTTTAAGGGTTACCCGGGTGGAGCACCGCCCTACCAAACCCGGCGTCATCCCTTGCTTGGGAGACTATTGCATAGTGTGATGAGAAGGTGTGGACAGAGGACCATGTAGCAGCCCTACAGATGTCCTGAATAGGGACATAAGCTACATAGGCCGCAGACAAGGCCTGGGCTCCCGTCGAATGAGCCTTCACAATAGGAGGCGGGGAAACTCCTGCCAGGTCGTAACAGGTGTTAATGCACAAGGTGATCCAGCGGGAGATCCGCTGGGTGGACACCAGTCGTCCCCTCATGCGCTCGGCCGAAGCAATGAACAGCTGGGGACACTTCCTAAATGGCCTGGTTCTGTCCAGATAAAAGGCCAGCGCTCTGCGCACGTCTAACATGTGCAGGCGGCGTTCCTCATTGGAGGAATGGAGCTTAGGACAGAGGATCGGGAGGAAAATATCCTGATCCATGTGAAAAGCCGAGACAACCTTCGGCAAAAAGGCGGGGTGAGGGCAGAGCTGAAGACCGTATACAGTGGTTCAGAGGTCAGGGCCCTGAGCTCAGAGACCCGGCGGGCTGAGGTGATAGCTACTAAGAACGCCACCTTCCATGCCAAGTGGGACCACGAACACATGGCTAATGGCTCAAAGGGAGGCCCTGTGAGGCAGGAGAGTATCAGGTTTAGGTCCCAGAGGGGGACCGGAGGTCTGGCGTAAGGGAATGCCCGATCTAACCCTTTCAGAAACCAGGCTGTCATGTGATGAGAAAACACAGATAGGCCCTGCACCGGTGGGTGGAAAGCTGAAAGGGCCGCCAGGTGCACCCTGATGAAGGAGGGTGCCAGCCCTTGGGTCCTAAGAGACAGGAGGTAATCAAGGACAAGTTGGATAGATGTGGGAGAGGAACCTCTATCCCTCGCCCACATAGAGAACCTATACCACTTAGCCAGGTAGGTTCGACGCGTGGAGGGTTTCCTACTTTCCAGCAGGACCCTTCTCACATCCTCCGAACACTTCCCTTCCTCCTCATTCAACCATGGAGCAGCCACGCTGTCAGGTGGAGCGGGGCAAGGTTGGGATGGAAGAGACAACCTTCCTCCTGCGAGAGGAGGTCCGGGCGGAGCAGCAGCCTGCAAAGGGGGCGGGGGGTGCTAAAAGTTGCAGTAGGGTCCCGTACCAATGTTGACGGGCCCAGTCCGGGGCTATGAGGATAACCCGCGCCCCGTCCGACTTCACCTTCTGTAATACCCTGCCTATTAAGGGGAAGGACAGGAAGTCATACAACAGGGGCCCCGACCATGGGAGCAGGAACGCATCCTACATCGCCCCATCGCCCTCTCCCGCCCTGGAGCAGAATTGGGGATACTGGCGATTCTGGGCGGTGGCGAACAGGTGTACCTGGGGAATACCCCACTGCAGGAAGATCCACCTGGCTACCTCCTTGTGCAGGGACCACTCGTGCTATTGGGAGAAAACCCTGCTCAGGCGGTCCGTGAGTGTGTTGCTCTTGCCGGGCAGATAAAAGGCCCGCAGGAGTACATTGTGGGCTATACAGAACTCCCACAGGAGCTGGGCTTCCTGGCATAAGGCCTGGGAACGGATGCCCCCTGCTTGTTGACTTAATACATGGCGGTCGTGTTGTCCATGAGGACTCTGACCACCTTCCCTGTATGTGGTGGCAAAAGGCCATGCACGCCAGGTGCACAGCCCTGAGCTCCCTGACACTTAAGTGCAGGGTCAGTTCCTCGGGCGACCACATACCCTGGGTCCTGAAGTCCCGCACATGAGCTTCCCAGCCCAGGTCCGAGGCATCCGACACTATATCTAGTGAGGGAGAGGGCTCTCGGAAGGGAATAGCCCGGAGCATGTTGCTTGGGAGAGACCACCACTGAAGGTGTGCCGCCACCATTGGCGGCACTGTGACGACCTTGTCCAGGCCATCCCTGGCCTGGGAGTACCGGGAGGCCAGCCAAAGCTGAAGGGACCTCATCCGAAGCCTGGCATGTCGCACCACATAGGTGCAAGCTGCCATGTGGCCTAGGATTTGCAGGCACACCCATGCCATGGTTAACAGGCTGTGACCGAGGCGTTGAGAGCTTTGAGCATCTCGAATCTGTCCTGTGGGAGGGAGGCTGTGGCCACCCAGGAATCTAGCAGCGCCCCTATAAAGCTTATGCACTGAATGGGGATTAACGAGGATTTCTCCTCGTTTACCAGTAGGCCTAGAGCTGCGCAGATGTCCAGCAGGAAACTGATCTGCTGCTGCACCAGAGACCGAGACCGGCCCTTGAGGAGCCAGTCGTCAAGGTAGGGGAAGATCTGCAGTCCTTTTCTCCTGAGGTGGGCCGCCTCCACCGCCAGACACTTTGTGAATACTCTTGGGGCAGTAGAGAGGCCAAAGGGGAGGACTGTAAACTGGAAGTGGTCCTGACCCACCAGGAAATGGAGGAAGCGCCTGTGACCCTCGAAAATGTTGATGTGAAAGTACGCATCCTGGAGGTCAAGTGCTGTAAACCAATCCCCCTGGTCTAGGGATGGAATAATAGAGGCCAGGGACACCATGCAGAATTTGCAATGAACCAGGGACTGGTTGAGATTCCGCAGGTCAAGGATGGGCCGAAGCCCGCCCTTCGCCTTCGGGATGAGGAAATACCTGGAATAAAAACCCTTGCCCTGGTATTCCCGAGGTACCCTTTCCATCGCTCCCAGGGAGAGGAGGCGCTCTACCTCCTGACGGAGGAGGAGGTCATGCTCCAGGACCCCGGCCAGCTGCCCAGATGGGAGACCGTTGGGAGGGGTTGAAACAAACTGCAGCCTGTACTCTTGGGAGATGGTGCTGAGGACCCATTGGTCTAACGTTATACAGGACCATTGCAGTCAGAAGGTCGATAAACGGTTCATAAAAGGCAACTTTATTAACTGGGTGGGGGGTGCACTGGCAACAGGCCCGGTGACCCCCCCCTCAACAAGTCCAAAACGCCGTTTTCCCGGCAGTTTGGTCTTCGAGGACCCAGGCCGCGGGGCCGAACCAGATTAGCGTTGGGACCGATGCCTTTGTTCCCTCTGCCGTTTAGGCGGGGATTCGTATCTGCCCCAAGCCGGAGGAGGAGAGGTTTGAGGCCTGGGCTTGTCCTTAAGGGGCGGGACGTAGAGGCCTAGCGTCTGCAGGCTGGTGTGGGAGTCCTTCATCCCATGCAGACGGGTGTCTGTCTGTTCCGCAAATAGGGCCTTGCCATCAAACGGCAGGTCCTGCATTATGGATTGGGACTCTACCGACAGCCCCGAAAGCGAGAGCCATGATGCCCGTCGCATGGAGACTGCGGAAGCCATCTAATGAGCGGCTGGGCCCGCTGCATCCGAAGCTGCCTGGAGAGCTGCTTTGGCTGCAGCCGCACCCTCGATCAGAGCCCGGAACTCCTTTCCATCCTTATCCTGAAGAAGGGGCTCAAACTTGGGGAGGGATCCCCAGAGATTAAACTCGTACCAGCTCAGCAGTGCCTCGTGGTTGGCCACCCTGACCTGGAAACTCGCAGACGAATAAACCTTTTTTCCAAAGGTGTCCAGTCTACGAGCGTCCTTGTCTTTTGGTGTGGGCGCGGGCTGGCCATTCCACTCACGGTGGTGGACATACTCTACCACCAAGGAGTTCGGAGCTGGGTGGATGTATAGGTACTCATGACCCCTCGTGGGGACGAAGTACTTCCTCTCGGCCTTTTTGGAAATAGGCCCCAGAGAGGCCGGGGTCTGCCAGAGGCCAGTGGTGATGTTGGCTACTCCCTGATGGAATGGCAGGCCACACGCCCCGGTACCAAGGA